TGTTATGCTGTTTCAACATACAAAGATCATGTATGATTGTTTGTTTTTACTGTTTCTTTTTTGAAATTTTTTATTCCATATATTGAAATTATTTTATTAACAGGTCAATATTTTTGTTTTGGGATGTTTTTCAAAATGTGTTCATGTTTTTGAGGCTTCAAAGACATCAAGTCAAATAACAGAAAAACTTTCTGTTCTTTCTTTGTAAGTTTTTTATTTTTATCATGAACTTTTTTATTAAGGCAATATATATATATATATATATATATATATATATATATATATATATATATATATATATATATATATATATATATATATATATATATATATATATATATATATATATATGTATATATATATATATATATATATATATATATATATATATATATATATATATATATATATTTATATTAAATAGAGACACGCTAGCAGAAAAATCGCCATTGAAATCAGAGTATCTTCAAAAGAAACTAAATGGTAAGCATAATTGTGTTGATAAGAAAAATTATGAAACTTCTATGTCAAAATTGCTTCTATTAATAAAATGGAGTAAAAATATCTAAATATTATGTTTAAAAATATGTAAATGATTGGCAAGTATTTAAACTAATCAGTGATGTCAGCTTAATATACAAGAGTACAATGTTACAGCTGAAACAATGAAAACTTTTAAAATCGGAATAGTCTGAGATATTTTTAATAAGTATTCTTACTGAAACTGTTTTTTTGTAATGCTCTGTATAGAAATTATTTTCAAATCAAACATCTGAGAGTAAAAGAAAAAAGGAAAACAGAAAATGAGAGCAAGAACGTGCTGACGCCGACTTTTCATAAATTTTTTTCATTTTTTCTTATATTCAACTAGGCATTAAAAAAATACATTTACACACATTTAATATCTTTATTATTTTTACATGTATTACACATGCAGTAGTAGACTAGTGGTAGAACTTTCTAATTCCTGCACAAGAGGTTCGAAGTTTACATCAACCCTATGTTTTTGGCAGCAGTTTACCTAACCTGTTTTTTTCCTAGCCGTTTTATTTAATTAATTACTTTATATCATAAAAATGACATAAATGTCACAAATAACACTTGTCAACAGGTTGCTTACAAATACTACAGTCATAAATTGTAAAGAATATTATTGAATTCAAAATAAATATATGCAAAAACTTTTAATTGTATTGAAAATTAATTATAGTATTAAAAAAGTCAAAAACTTTTTTTAGCCCCTAAACCAGATTTAGTTCAGAGACCAGGTTCAAAAGTTCGAAGACCAGATTCTCAAAAGCTTTTGATAAATAAGCCTAAAATGCATCATCCTGTTGTCTTCAATAAACAAATAAAGTCTTCTGGATATTCTAAAGATAAACCAAGGTTTTAGTTTTAAATTTTTTTACTTTAGATAATATTGTTTTGTGATTTTAAATGTTATTACTATAGTTATATATATATATCTACTATAGCATATTTATATGCGCAATTGCTCACTTTTTTTGCTAGCCTAAATTAAGTGAGCGTTTTGAGAAAACGATGAGAGAAAACGAAGAATAATGAATGAAAAGGTTGCTGACCCGTACCAAACCCTCAGTTGATGTAGCAGCACTCCACTGCGAGTCAGGCTATTTGTCAGTTGATGTATGTACTGAAGCCCCTGGCAGCAGGCTATTTGACGTTAGGTGAGTATGACATCATCATGCTCACTTAACTCAGCAGTATAAGATATAAACATTATTATTATTATCTTTGTTGTATTTATTACTATTATTTTATTAAATAATACATATATTTATTAAATAATAAATATATAAGTTATTTATTTAAACAAGTATGTATGTATATATATATATATATATATATATATATATATATATATATATATATACATGTATATATATATATACATGTATATATATATATATATATATATATATATATATATATATATATATATATATATATATATATATATATATATATATACATATATATATATATATATATATATATATATACATATATATATATATTCTTGGAATCACTTTTTTATAATCACTTTTTTAGAACTATGTTCCAACCGCAAGTCAAGAAACCAAAAGCTAAAGTTGATTTTTCTAATAAAGTTGGTCCATGGGGAATGAAGAATGAGTCGAAGTAATTTTTATGTTAAATAAATAATGAGTTCAAGGGAAACATAAAACTTGAAGAATATTTTGTATTTTTGTTAACTTTTATTAGAAATTTGCAAAAAAGCTACCCCTTGGATTGTGATCCTCCAACAACATTTTTAAATGATTTGCAGCTAGTGGAGGGAGCATCACCTATTAATGATGTATGCTTCTCAGGTTAGCTAAAGATAAAACCAAAATCTAAAAACTAAAACCAAACCATTTTCTTTAACTTGATACTTTTTTTTATTTAGATTCTGGAAAATCAATTGCTTGTGCATTGGGAGATAAAAATGCTGTGTTGTTAAAACTCCCTGCAATGAAAAATGAAAAACCTTTTATAGGTGAGTAAAACTACTTGCTATTTTTGTATGTGAATTTTTCAATTAATTTACTTTTTTATTTTTTATTTTATTTTTGATAAATAGGTCATGACAAAGCAGTGAATTCAGTTTGTATAAATCATGCAAATAACCTTATAATGACATCATCTGCTGATCAAACTGTTAAGTTATGGTTTCCTGGTCATTCTGAGCCGATCCTAAATATATCACACTACAAAAATAGTTTAAGTGAAGAAAAAGTATCTTATGATCCAGTAAAATTTTTAAAAATTTTGTTTTTAAAATAAAGTAAAAAAAATATTTTTACTTATATTTGATTTTTGTATTTTAATTTTTTTTTTTAATTTTATAAAAGTTAAAGTTAATTTAAATAACATTTTTCAAGTTTAATGTCCATGGATTTCACACTTGTACAGTTTTAACAGGTTTCCATAATGCCGCTTCTTGATGTGGGCATTCTGACTTTAACCTAATTTGCAGTTAGAGACCAACAAGTTGCATTCATAGTTTACAAGCTTCTCTTATAGTTAAATTGGGGCCTTATAACAGAGTTTTCTTTCTCTTAGATAAGTTGCCTTTAAAGTTTGCCTCTAAAGATCATCTTCCGTTATAATATTGAAGCATGGTTAACAAAAATGGTTTACACCAATGTAACTTATGTAGTTAAATAAAGACAATGACAAAGTCTAAAAAAGGCTTTTTTTTTTTTTTTTTTTTTTTTGATTGAACTGTTACACTTTTTTTTTGAATAAAAAAAAAGTGTAACAGTTCAATCATATAATTAAAATAAAATTGTTAAAATATAGTTAAAATAAAATGTATGAAAAAGTTGAAAATGGTAAAATAATGTTGAAAGAATGTTTAAAAAGTGCTTAAAGAAGGTTGAAAGAATGTTGAAAAATTTTTTAACTGTTGCAATTTATTATCACTTATTTAAATTATACATTTATAATTTTTATCTTTTTTTTTAATCATAGAATAATCAGCCATTTTGCAAAGGGATTGGTGGAGCTATTTTTTACTTTAATGATAAGTTCATTCTACTTTCCCATGGAAATTCATTGTGTTTATATAAATATAATATTGATTCTTTAAAGGATGATTTAAAAAGGTTTCGATTTTGTTAATTTTTTCTTTAATTATATATATTACATTAATAATTTAAATAAAAAAAAATATTTTTTAATCAAGTTTTGTTACATTGAATAATAAATATTAAAAAGTTATTTATGCTTACAAAGTAATGATTGCTAAGTATACTGTGTTAAATTAGTACAAGTTAGTATAGGATATATAAGATAATATAATAGTAAAAGATAATATAGTAAAAAAATAATTAAATTAAATTATTATTTTTTATAACTTTGTTTATAGATATTTGAATAATAATCGGTATAAACTTGTACATGACTTTAATATGGGAGATGTCCAAATCATATCCTCATTCTCTGCAATGAATTCTTTTTATTCATGTATCTTTTTATTGTTGTTGCCTAATTTTATTTATTTATCAAAAAGTCTTTGAATTTGTAGTATTATATATATATATATATATATATATATATATTTACATACATACATACATACATACATACATACATACATACATACATACATACATACATACATACATACATACATACATACATACATACATACATACATACATACATACATACATGCATATATATATATATATACATACATACATACATACATACATACACACATACATACATACATACATACATACATGCATACATACATAAATATATATATATATATATATATAAATATATATATATATATATATATATATATATATATATATATATATATATATATATATATGTATATATATATATATATATATATGTATATATACATGCACATGTATAATATACATATTACTATACATTTAGCTGGCAAGTGCTCTATTTGTTGGGTATATGTCAATTTTTTCTGAAGCCTCCTTATAAGACCATCTTTGGGTTTACCTGTCCTACCAAAAGCAGTTGTGAAGATGCTGCTTTGAATTACTTCTAAGACATACTGACAGCATCTAATGTTTACAAATTCAATGCCTATGGCTTCCTCTTTAATTACTCATGCTCCTTTGTGGATGCTTGTAGAGGAGATTGTTTCAAATACTAGACCCTGAACTTTTTCTTGTATATTCCAGTCATCTAGTACTTTTAAGCATACAGCCATCTGTTTTTTGCAAATCGCCTTTCCAATATTTGGGACTCCCAACAACTTCTCATTTCCTCTAACAATGGTTGCAATTCAGACAACAGTTTCTTTTGCACCAGTTCTGGTGTCTGGAATTTCCCATCCTAATGGAAAAGAGGATATTCTACTGAAAAGGATATTCTACTGAAGGGCTTTTTTTTGCTTCAACTACTTGTGTTTGGGTAGACCTTCTAACGGTATAAAATAGTTAATAGTTCTAAACAGTGCTCCTAAATAATGCCAGGTTTAGGTTTAGGTTTAAGAGCATAACTTAAGGTCTTACTGATGCAAAAATATATATAGCTCCGCAATCAGGATAGTCTACTCTATCCAAAGCTTTTGTGATTTCTGAAATTACTATTACAATTTTCAGTTGTTTAGGCTTTGAGGAATTTAAGCAGACAATGATGATGGAACTTTAATTTTGCAATAGTCTTCCTCCTAAGGCTTGAAAGAAGAAGTGATATCCAAAACAGGAGCAAGTGTTTTTATTTACTGCATCTTTTCTGCCTTAAGTTTTCGAATTAAGCAAGCCTTTTTCCTTTTTTTTTCTCTGCAACATTGTGAATCAATCCAGCTATACCTGAACTGACAATATCTTTGCTATGCATAGTTGGGTATTATCTGTCTTAATTCTTTTCATGATGTCCAAAACATAATATACAAAACATAATATACAAAACATAATATACATAATATACAAAACATAGTATGTATGAATAAATTCTAGGGTTAGCTTTACCTTCAAGCAAGTGTCAAGACCCTAATTTATTGTATTTAATTGTTGAATATGAAACTATTTCTTTCAGTAGATTTTTTTTAGATCTTGCATCCTTCCTGATAATAAATATTTATATTAATGGTAAATTATTATTATAAGCCATATTATGTTTAAATAAACAACAACAAACATAGAGTTGAAGATCAAAAGAGATTTTTTTAATAAATTTGATGTAATCCTTAACAAACACATAGATCTGGTTTTAGCTAGCTGTTCTAATCGAGATATATTTGTTTATGATATGAATGTTCGTCAAATCAGACAGACAATCAAAGATGCGCATACAAGATTAATTCATTCTTTGAAGCAGAACCAGGTAAAAAAAAATTTGTTACTAAAGAGAAAAAATATTTTTTCTTTTTTGTAATAGTAGCATTTTTAAAATATTTATTGTTTCTTATTAGTTTACTATTTTATTATTATTAGTTTACAATTTTATTATATGTTATATAAATAATTTAGTAGAATTATTTTTATTAATAATAGTTTTATTATTAATTTAATTTTATAACCATATAATTAATATTTAAGATATTTTATAAAAACATTTTTTAGGGTTCAGTTGCTGTTACACAAGCATCAGAGGCTTATGATTTATTTGTAACAGCAGCTTCTACTGATGGAGTAAAACTATGGGATTTGAGACTCAGTAGGTCGGTTAAATTGATATTTACAATTTTATCAGACTGTTTTAGTTCTAGTTCATGTTTTTGTTTCAGTTTTTGTTTTAGTTTAGATATCATGAAAGATAAATGCTTTTTTAATTTTTAAGTAAAAAAAATTTTTTATAAATAACTTTACTTTTTATAAATAATTTTAAGATGTGTGAGGAAATTTGAAGGTCATATAAATAGATCTCAAAAGATTGGTTTGTCATTCAGTCCATGCTCTAAATATATTGCTGTTGGTTCAGAAGATCGCTCAGTAAGAATCTTCTGATTTAAAATATATTACATTTATATTTTATATATATATATATATATATATATATATATATATATATATATATATATATATATATATATATAATATCCAACATTTAAATTTAATAAAAAATATATAACTAACAAATTATATGTAATAATGATAAAAATATGTGTGTGCAATCTTTTAGATTCAGGCAGGTATGAATTATTTTATTTAACCTGATTGAAAGTTAATCCTATATTTACTAATCACCCATGATTTTCTTCATTTTGTGCTGCAGCTATTTTCATTCATAATCATTCTCATTTTTTTCACCAAAATTCTTCAGAGAACAAATGCCTTTATTTTACCAGAAAGTAATGCAAAAAATGTTTCTCTAATCTAATCCCTAATGCTAAGAACCAATATTTACTTTTTTTTCTTTGCTTTAGATAAATGCAATAAGGCTTGGTTCTTTGCCTTTTACTTTTCTTTTTTTATTTTGGTTACGACCTCTTCTCTCTGACACCCTGAGGCTTGTAGTAACTAATGAATTTTAATTCAAACCAAAAATTTTCTGCTTATCATTATTGCAATAACATTGATTTTACTGGTATTAATAAACAATTTTACTGAGTCTTCTACTAATCTGGTAATGAATTTTTATAAATTTTTAATTTGTAAATCTCTTATTTTATGTTGTATGGAATACTGTTGTCTTACTATGCCAGGGTTTCCTAATGTCTTTTGGATAAGTTTTAAAAGCACAATTGGTTGAGTTGGACCTACTTTAGCAGTCAAGTATGAGCTACTGTCACATTTTTGTAAGGTAGATCTCTTTTTCTATTTTGTTCCACCTGCCAAAATTTATTCTTGTGTGACTTCAGTAAGATGCATCCTTTTATTATTCTTTTTTCTTTTCACTGTTCCTTCATGCTCAAAAAACTTTTATTTTAATTTCTTTCCACAAGCTGTCAGTGATTTGGAATAATTTAACTGAAATTGGTTGCATTTTGTTGAGTTTTTAGCATTTTTTATAAATAATTTCTCTTTCCATTATTTTTAGAGGATATGCTAAGGGCATTTAAAAATCATTTTAAACAACTCATGGTACCTCTTTACTAATGTCTAGACCTTAAAAGTTGAAAATCAGATCATAAATATTGATTTTAGGCAGTTATAATAAAGTATATATTTTTTTCAGACTTGACAGATGTGGGCAAAAGTGGGACAAGCAAGCATTTAACAGCATATTAACAAAAGTTATATTCAAAAACTGGTAAAATCGTAAACCACGTAAACTTCATCAAAATATTTTAGAGTTTTTCCCAATATAGTGACACAAAAATGATGGGGAGAACTGAGAGCCAACTAATTTTCTTTCCACTTCACCCCTCAAAAAATTGTTGTTTGGACGTACTTTAAAAGTATGGTTTCTTACCACACACAGACAAAGCAATGTCTGTTAAATAGAAAGAAGGAAATCTTATTGTTGACATTTGATTACAGTGATTAAAGGCCTCTCCTAATTGTAATTTTTGTTAATTTCTCCATTCTCCTGTGTTCTACTTCTCCCCACTCTTTCTTACTAAGTAAATATTTCGTATAGTTGCACTTGATTAATTTAATAGAAAAAAAAATTGAGAAAAACAAATTGAAAAGTTCATTAAAAACTTTTTAAAAACAATTAGTGGATCAAATTAACAGTCAATTAAAACTGACATTGCTAATAAAGGCATAAAATAGAGAAAAACAACAGTTAAAATCATTATTAATCATCAAAATAATTGTAACACAAACATCAACATGAAAATAGTCTCATCATAAAATAACATGTTGTTAATCTTTATTATATATTAAAGTATATGGTAAAAATTAGCGATAAATACTGTGAGCAATATTTATCCTTACTTTTACATCAATAATTACTTTTACATACCATTTTATATATACAATGGCTACAATTATACTGATCATCTTTTATACTGAACATTATAGACATCTTATAAAATCTGTACATGGGAAAAAACATAAAGGAAAAAGAATAGATGAACATATTATGAACAGGATACAAAATGAAATAAAAGAAGGAAATAAAGTAGTACTAAAAAATAAAGAATGATAAAGATTGTCTGGAAAGAACTGAGAAACCTTGACAATCTGAAACTGTAGTATTTAAGTTGCCTAAGAACTTCAAGGATGACCCTAATATTATGACTATTCTAGACAGAACTAAAATATCAAGCAGAAAAGCAGGAGCTTGGGCCTCTACAAACTTAAAAGCAAAGTAAAGGCTGATTACAATCTTGGGTAAAGTCTGATTCAAACAAGTGCAAACGATTCTTGGGAAAACCTCACTGCTAATACCATGATAAATTGCTGATGCAATGATGCAATGGCAGAAATCTATGTGACATTTTTTCATTTCTGCAGAAAATTAGTTATGAATGACAGTAATAGATGACTATGAAGACGTTGCAGAATAAAAGTTTCCAATTTATTTTTCTTTAATTGGTCACATGCGGTTTATCTAAAATACATGTTTTAATATATGTTTTTATACACAACTCATTTGTACAGTGTGCTTGTACATAAATAATAAAAATTATAGAACTCTATTTTACATATTCATAAATTACTTTTTGTAATTTATGAATATGTACAATTTACAAATGGATGTAGGTATAAATGCAACATAAAAGTTATTGATTATGCAATTCAGCTGGATATTCGGAAGACTTTTTTCTTTGTTTATAAAAAAAAAAAAATCCATCTTGAAAGACATAGGACAATGTTTTTTTGTGTCCATCAATCTGAACTGGGAGTTTTCATTGTATTTTTTGTAATTGCATATCGATGACTGTCAGTGCCATGATCTTTTGCGTTGGAAAACCACTTTGATAATTCTGTTTCACACTTTTTTTAAACAAGTCACACTTTTTTTAAACAAGTCACCCTCACTCAAACATGGCAACAATTTTAACCACCAAAGTTTTTAATAACGTTAAATATACAAATTTTAAGACACAAGTTAAGTAAAGTTTAATTAGAATTGATTATTTAATATCTTGTAGCAATTAAATGATGCAACTAAAAATTTTATTGGTCAGAAATTAGGAAATATAATTATTTTATTTCAAATAATATTTACCCTACCATCAGAGTTTAACTTATTCATAATACTTTTTATAATGATAACATGGTGTCCTATCTTAAACTTAATTTATTTTATGCAATTAATCTTAATTTTTAAATATTGAGTTAAATTTGGCAATTTGTGGCAACTTTATATCTTTTGGAAAATTTAATATTACTTTGTTACTCTGGGACTTTTTATTTAATAGTGATGTATGCATTTTTTAGAGTTTTTTTAATTTCCTCAACATTGCTAACCAAAGTTTTTATTAAATTAAATATTGTTAGAAGTTTGACTTAAACTGGAACCTAAATAAAAAGTATATTACAAACTTTAACTGTGTAATAACACCGTTAAAGATTTATAGGTTTATTTACAAATCTTTTGCTGTTACCATGAGGTTTAACAATGGAGCACTCAAATCAAACTTTTTTTAAAGAGTTTTTAAACCATTTTTATATAGCTCATTCAAGAAATGGTTCTTACTAAACCAAATAATATATATCTATATACTTGTATTTTTGAACAAGTTTTTCAAACATACTGATTTACACATTAAATATAAATTTTAAGGATTATTATTTATATTTTATGTTTAAACAAAACTAAACTTTCAAACAAAATAAAACAAACAAAAAAGATATTTTTTATAAATTATGACATAAGAAATGTTTTAAAACTTTTTATTATAATATTTTATGTATTTTTTATTAAATGTAAATAATTAAAGTTTCAAAAGTAAACTTTCAATTAATGAATACTTTCAAATAAGAGTTTTTATTATAATAATTTGGATTATTACAAAAAAAACAGCAGATAACTTAAAAATAGAAAAATGTAAGCACTTTCAAAAAAACTTGCACAAAAAAAAATATCCCATTGAAAATGTAATAATACTAAATAAAACATGATTATTATTAAATACTTAATATAAAACTGTTTACAATAATACATAAGACATATATTTTTTTAAACTAAAGTTTTTATACACAATATGAAAAAAGTGAATTAGAGGAATTAGAACAAAACCATTTTTATGTGGCAGCAGAAATATATTTAGTACTTAATTTTCTCGAAGAATAAACTTTTACAAGGTATAAAAGTTTTCAACATTAAAAACAGACAGTAAAAGTGAGTCTAGTGAATCTGTAAAAAATGGCTCTATGCTCAAACTCTACATAAACAACAAAAGCATCACAATCATTTGAATTCTTTCCAGCAGGAATATTTATAACTTTACTATTTATTGCAAAGTAGTTTTTTCCATTTTCATTAGAAACTAGAAACTTTAAGATATTAAAACTTCCAGCAATTTGAAAAACAAATAAAAAGTGGGTATAGCAGTGACAAAGTTTTTGTGAATAATTTTTATGATGCATCAAAATGAAAATACCAAATAAAAGAATAAATATGGTTACATATAATGTATAAAATAATGTATAAATACTAAATAAATAACATATTACTACTTAACCAATCATTTTTTTATTAATTTTCTCAGATATTCTAGTTTTTTTATTGATTTATCCATGGATCCTAGGAAGATCCCATCAAAAAAGCCCCTATGTATCCCATACCAGTTAACTGGACAAACCCTATACAGTACCCATATGTATTGGTTGACTAGGAAGAATTGGTATTTTAGTTTTTATAATCTAATCATATGTACTAATTTTCTACATATAATAATACATATAATTATATCTGATTATATGTATTATTATTATACATATCTAAAACTTATGTAATAATAGTCTAATAAAAATTGTAATTCAAATTTTGTATAAGTTTATTATTTGTACACTTTATTTTTAAGGTATACATTTATTTTTTTTTATTTATTATTTATATTTATTATTTTTTAAGGTATATATTTATGATATTCGAAGCAGCTCTTATTTACATCGACTTGGTGGTCATTCTGATGTTGTTACAGCTATTGCCTTTCATCCTGTGAATCCAATGGTAAATTATTTTATTTGTTTACTAATTAGGTACTTAGTATTTACTAATTAGGTACTTAGTATTGCAGAGTATAATTGGTGATGATAATTATAAGGATTATATATATATATATATATATATATATATATATATATATATATATATATATATATATATATATATATATATATATATATATGTATGTATATATGTATGTATATATATGTATGTATATATATATATATATATATATATATATATATATATATATATATATATACTTATATTTTTATTTGTATGTGTAAACCCAATGAGAGGGGTTGCCGTTGAAAGTCTAAACCTAAAAGTTTAGGGGCCAGTTGCTGGATCCTTTTTTTTTTTAATTTAAACAAAGTTTTTTGTTGTATGTCATTTATATAATGTCATATAAAGCAATTAAATGTCTGAGTACTATTATTATTATATTATATTTATGTATATTATATTTTTATATCATAGTTATTATTATCTGAGTGTAAATAATTGATACTGTGTTCTGATAATTTTTTTTTTATTTCGAAAAAAAAATCAGTTTTACAAACCAATGTAGCTGTAAGTTACTGAAAGAAAAGCACACCATTCACCATAAAATTTGTAAAACTTATCATTAGTTAATATTTGCTTAAGCAACTGTAATCGGCTAAAATTTTGTTAAACCATAAATTAAAAAAAAAATTATAAATAAAATCTAACATAAATTATACAAATATATACATATATTTTTTCTTTATTTTAAATATACTTTTTTGTATACTTTAACAGTATCTCAGATCTTAAATAGTTTTACTAACAATGATTAATCAATTTAATATACAATTATTTGCTTTTCAATCTTTTTGAAAAACTTTTTTTTTTTTTTGAGTTTTTAAACTTATTGCAGTTGTGGTAGATTGGTTGTTGTAGGTGTGGTGGATTGATTGTTGTATCTTCGGTGGATTGATTGTTGTAATTGTGGTGGGTTGATTGTTGTAGTTGTGGTAAGTTGATTGTTGTAGTTGTGGTGGATTGATTCTTGTAGTTGTGGTGGGTTGATTCTTGTAGTTGTGGTGGGTTGATTCTTGTATCTGTGGTGGATTGATTGTTGTAATTTTGGTGGGCTGATTGTTAAAGCTGTGGTGGGTTGATTGTTGTAGCTGCAGTGGTTGATTGTTGTAGTTGTGGTGGGTTGATTATTGTATCTGTGGTGGATTGATTGTTGTAGCTGTGGTGGATGCAAATTAAAAACAAAGCTAGAATACTTTAAAATTATTGTAGAAAATGATTTTTTCAGAAATATTAAGTTGTTAAATAATATATTTATATTTTATTCACATTCTTTTTCATAATTTATTTTACAATGTTTTATACATATTATAGATTAAAATAAGCATTTACTTCTCAGATGAGTCAACCTTTCAAGTAAGCAAATAGTATTATGGCTTATTTAAAACAGAAAAAAATTGGCGTACTGCCATGGCATAGCAATTCATCAAATTTCCACCTCATAGAAAACATTTGGGATGTAAAGTGAAAGATTGGAAAAGAAATTATAGCTAACAAGCAAGATTTTATGGAAATGATTATCAGGATCTTGTGCAAAAAAAATTTTTATAGTTTCTGTTGACTCTGGAGTCAACAGAAACTATAAAAAAGTCAATTGCAAGTATGCCACGATGCATCAAAGCAGTTATTGAAAATAAAAGCAGTTTTACAAAATGTTGATTCTATATAATTGTTTTAATAACCAACAAATATTCAAAATGTTTAAATTTTTTGTTTATACTTTATCAAGTAATACTTTGTAAATAAAAAAAGAATCTTTAAATTATATTTAAATAAGCAGATATTTTTATTGAATATTAAAGTAGACACATAACAGTTACTAATGGATAAGAATGTCAGATAAGTGACCACCTCTTGTAGCTCTACAGGTCTCCAATCTTTTATTAAAATTTTCCAACACATGATGACATAATTTTGGTTCAATTATGCTTTTATTCAAATGTTGAATGGTTTTTTTTTAAAAAACCATCATTTTTTTCATTTGCTGCAAGAACCCAATTAACAAATGCACGATGTAATCCATGATCAGTTGGCAATATTTATTGTGTTAATTGTATTTTCTAAGCTTTTAGGTGAAGATCCTTATGTAAAATATTGAATAAAGTGGTTTGTTTTATGCTTAATTGCTGTGAATGATGACAAATTGATGTGTTGGCTCTTCAAAACCACTATGACTGTAAATTTCATTTTTTTTATCTTGAATTAAACCAGTTTCTTCAAATTTATTTACAATATTTTGAATGGTGGAATTTGTTGGACAATTTCTTCCAATTTCTGTACAATTTTCACTAAATTTAAAATAATTTTTAGAAAAATAAACGCGTTGTTCAATTTTATATTTCTCCATATTTACTAACCGCAATTTTTATACTTGACAGCTGTCAATAAGCAGAAACCGTTTTAGCATGAAAAATTAAAATAGTGCAAATTTAAAATAGTTAATTAAAATTTGAACGCCCTGTGTATCAAATTTTAGAAACATTAATGCGGAGCAACATACTCGTGATTGGCTTGACTGGAGCAAGCATAAAGCTATTTTATATTGTTTTCCTTGTCGGTTATTTTGGAACAGTGTCTGTTCAAAGCTAAGTACTGCTTCTAAATTTGCATTAACTATAGTTGAAAGCTGGCCAACAAGTGCCAATTGGTAGATTTTATGGTAGATTCCAGATCAGGAAAGAGTAATGAGAATATAAAGTGCTATCAGGATGCATGCACTGGCAGGATGCATCCTGATAGTGCATGGCAGGAGTTAGAAGAGCATTTATTAATTGGAGACGATATTGATAATTTTATTGAATCATCAATTTAATTGAAATGAATTATCCTTTTTCTATGTAACCTTGTTTTCCAGGGATTTTCATAATGCATTGGTGACTCAAATAATTGTAACTTTTTAGGTCTGAAAGTGTTGTTTTAAAACTGGGACCCGAAAAGAGACTGAGTTTTTAAAAGTAGCTGAGCCAAAAAAAAAAAGAGAAAAAGACTGCATGTATGTTATCTCTCAAATGATTTATAAAATAAATTTGTTGCAGAATGTTTGGATCTTGTTACGCATGTTTTGGAAAAAAAGAATTCTGCAAAGTACTATGCAATAATTGAAGGTTCCATCACAGATTCATCTAATGTTGAGCAAACAATATTTGTTTTGCGTTACTTAGTTTGTCATGAATTGCATATAAAGTTGTTGAAAATTTTTTAAAATTTGTAGTTAAAAAAATAGTTCTAAAATTGCTCATATGATTACAAAAATGTCAAAAGGTTATGCTATTTCATTCATTGATTGTGTGGTGCAAAGTTATGATAATGTGTTAAAAATGTATTCAAGAAAGCATAGTCTATTTGGGAACGATTCAAAAAATACGCCCAGTTCTAGCCCAAATATATGGGAAATATTAACTAAGTGTATTGGTTGTTTGCTTCATGGCAATATAGAAGTAAAATTGTTTAGAAATAATAAAGAAGCTTTAGCAATCTTAAACTTTTTCAGATCCACGATGATTCAGGATTGCCTCAACGACCTTGCTAAATTAAGTATTGAGTCTAACATTGCAAAACATATAGACATTGGTAAAGCAATCCATAATTTTGCTGAGAAAATGGCACACAAATAAACTTTGTTTTAACAAAGTACAAAGTTGTTCTGTTAAACAATATTTTTAGATTTTTCGCTCGTCCAAATTCAAATAAGATTTTATATTAATACCACTTTTAGGTGAAATGAACATTATAGTTTATCAATATGATCTGTTCTGATTGTTTATTAGCAATTTTTCATAACTATAAGCTCTTTCTTGGTCGGAATTCTAGTATTTTTTGTGAAAATTGACAAAAATATTGTGTTTTGACAACTATATAGTTAATATATGTCAGAACCGATTAGAACTAGGATCAGTAATATAGTATGGAACTTTTTTTAAAAGATTTTAACTAAATTCACGTTAATGCCGATGAGCGGAATTGATCTAAAGACTCCAAAATAGTGTTCTTTAGATACATTATTACGGGTAGTAAAAAGATTTTGAAAATTATATAAAAAAAAGAAAAGTTTATTTAAATAATATAAAAACCTTAAGCAAAAAAAATTATAAAATTTAAAGATCTTTTTGGGCATAATATGCTGACAGAACCATGCTAATTCCAAATAAAAATATTCAAATATTTTGTATATCGCCTTAACTACACCGAGTAGTTAAAAATTTGCGAACTCCTGTAATTTAATTTTTTGGAATAAATTGAAGTTTTTTTAATTTGATCATTCATTTCTAATGAGTCTTTATTGATGAAACACAGTGTAAAATAAAATAAAAATTTTTTTAAGTGATTTTCTACTAATTTATAATTGCTCTGTTCTTTTAAGAACATTGAGCACTCTATTTTGTAGAATACATTTTTAAAATTGTATATATATATATAAATTGTAACACATATATATATATCCGTTTATATATATATAAACAGATAAGTATATAATAACCATTTATATATATATATATATTATTATTATATATATATATATAAACGGATATATTTTATATATATTTATATATATATATATGTATATATATATATATATATATATATATATATATATATATATATATATATATATATATATATATATATATATATATATATTTACAGTGGTAGCCAAATTATATGACTAAATGCAATTTCAAAACATTACAAAAAATTAGAAAAGTTAAGAAGCGCAATATTTTATTGTAAAAAAGCACAAAATTAAACTGTTTAAGTATAAAAACAATTAATTAGGACTTGATATTCAAATTACTTAAAATTCGCATTAATAAGACTTATTAAGAAGTTAAAATTACAACAAAAATTCAAAAAGAAACAATAGAAAATGAAATAAATTACAATGGCAATGAAAGTTCAAACGGTTGAAACATGTCAGTTAATATTTTGTATGGTTTTCCTTATTTTTTAGCAGTGTCTGGACCCTTGAAGGCATCCTATGAATAAGTTTCAGACAAAGCTTGGGGATTTTGTCGTCATGATGCCAGACATTGATCAAAGCCTCGGTCAGTTCCATCTTGTTTTTTGGTTTCATCTCTCCTACTCTTCTTTATCTTCCACAGGTTCTCAATGGGGTTCCTGTCATGTGAATTACCTGGCCACTGTAGAAGCTTAATGTGGTTGTCAGCTAAGTATTTCTTGACTGTCTTTGCAGTGTAACAAGGTGCTCCATCTTGCATAAAAGTGAACGGTCTCCGTCGACACCATTCGCCAAGTTAAGGCAGCGGTCATGTCCCAAGTACCTTGTATTGAACTAGATTCATGGTGCCTTCAACAATATACAGTCGTCCAGGCTCATAAATAGAGATAACTGACCAGACCATGACCTACGATGGGTGCTTTACTGTCTCTGCAACACAGTCAGGATGAAATTCTTTACCGGATCTCCTACGTACATAGGCTGCTTTCTCATCCATGATGTTAAAGGATGATTCATCACTGAAACACACCTGACTCCAATCATTTTCACTGAAATTCTTGTGTTGCTTTCCCCATGCCAAACATTTCTTGATCATTGCCGGAGTCAGCTTTGGTTTTCTTCGTGGCTAGCGAGCTCGAAAACCATTCACAACTAATTGTCTTCGGTACTCACATGTACATTACTTTCTTGTAATTCTTTCTGCAACATCTTGCTTGTTGCTTTACAGCTTTATATACAGCATTTCATGAGGTACCTGTTGTCTCGCACAGACATTAATTTTTTTCTGCCACAATTGCCAACACAGTTGCCTTGTAATTTTTCACCAGTCTGCATCTTCTTCATTCTCGATACCTATTTCTGACTTATTCCAACATTTATAGCAATCTCCTTTTGCGTGAGGGATGTCTCTCGTAGATAAACCTCAACTCTGGCCAAATTTGTTGGTGACAAGTCAGCAGCTTTTACCATCTATTAAAAGAACATAAAATGCTTTATTAATTAAACATGTTTCTTCATTTTTAATGTAGAAAATAAAAATAAATAAAAAATTGACCTTAATGTAATGTCAAGCAACTCTTATTAATGTACATTTTTCTTTGATTTATGCTCATAATCATCAAAAAAATGACCTCTAACAGATAGCAGGTAACCAAATTTTAATATTCAATTTACAGTTAAAATTTTCAATAAAATGGATCTTAAGCGAAAATAAATATACATTACACTTATTATCACTTAAGCAACATTGGGCTATACATGCAGTAACTATAAATACATTAATTTAATAACTAATTTGTGCCAAGGTAGGTACATTCAAAAATAGTCTCGGTTTTGTAGCCTAGTCTAATAATTTGGCCACCACTGTATATTCAGAAACAAAGGATCCGTGGTTCAAACCCCACCTTGGAGCAAGTTTTGCAACATCGGTTAGGAAGGAGGCGTGAACTTCCAATAAAATCCTCATCCCCTGTGCTCTGTGATTAGACTGTAAGGAGTTCTTATTTCACGTAAATAAACTGATAAATTATATATATAATATATGTAACATATAGTTATACAATATATATACATATATATATATATATATATATATATATATATATATATATATATATATATATATATATATATATATATATATATATATATATATATATATATATATATATATATATATATATATATATATATATATATATATATATATATATATATATATATTAATAATCTGACGACTGACGGTAATAATCTGACGACCTCAATCTTTTAGAGGTCGGCCTTAGGTCGGCAAAACACTTTCATAAAAAGGTCTTAAAACAATTTCATAAAAAGGTCGACAATTTTTTGCCGACCTCAAACACTTTAAGGTCAGCAGTTAGACCCTAATTCCGACGGTTATATATTTATGTATTGATATGCCCTATTCTTACATCTTCACTACACCTGAACCAAATTTTCTCGTTTATTTTACTGTTAATCACATTTCTTGTATATTTATGATGCCATTTTATAAAAGAACTTCATTTTTATTATTTTTTTATACCGATTTAAACTATTATTTTCATTTGTACTTAAAAAATATTTTGATGAAGTATTTAGCAATATTTTGTCAGAACATTTTAAATACAAATTATACTTAAATTTGTATTTAAAATTGATTATCATTATCATCTTATACATCAAAAACCCATCACGAAAAAAATAACAGTAAAGTTATACTACGAATGCTTATCCTTGCCCCTTTTTCTGCGCTAGATGCGTATCTGCCATGATTTCATCTATAATTGTAATTTTTTATAAATTTTTCAACGTGTGTTTTTTTTTTTTTTTTTTTTTTGGAAACGTTTTGTTTTATTTGGTTTTAGAAATGTTTTTGATAGTAAAGTCTTTACTAACTTTTGAAATGAATAGGCAAAAAAATAATATTGTTTTTTCTAGATTGCTTGTGGATCTCGAAGCGGACAACTTCGCTTTTACATCAATGAGTTGTTTATGAGTCAAAAAGAATAAAAAAATTAAAATATACAGCTGAATCATTTAAGAACTAAAAAGTCAATTGAGTATTTTTTTACGTCAAAATCACTTTACAAGCCAACCAGGTGATTATTTATGGAATATTTAAATCATAATATTTTTAATAAAATTTGTAAATAAATTGGTTTTATCATACTCTGTAAAAATAATTTGTAATTTATTTAAAAGAAATTTATGCGAATCATCATTTTAGCTCATTTATTCTCATCAATATTAGTTTTTTTGTTAAGGAATTCTAAAATTTCAATGACAGTAGTGTACTCTTCTATATAAATTATTTGTGTACTATTTGTCCAAAAAGAACACGGCTTGTGTGAAACTTTTCTATTTTAAGTGACCTGACCGCGAAACAAAAAAAAAGGGAAGAGAAATTCATATCAAAAAATTTAAAAGCAATTTGACAAATATTTCAGAAATGACAATTCTTTAATTGTGTCGCGTATTATCTGCGTGACACGATGCCAACAGGGAAATAAAATAACTTTTTATTCTTAAAATTATAAAAAAGAGATAGTCAAAAGATCAGAAAAGTAAAATTTGATAAGAGTATGACATTGAAACACACTATGTAAACACTTAAATCTCTTTAAAAAATTGGGTTTTTTTAAAATAAAGCTAGAAAATGTCTAAATAAAAAAAATTAGCTCATCAGTGTTACCCTTATTTCTTCATGGTTACAATATCAATCCATATTTAAATTATACAAATAATTATATGCAAGTATTCCATAAAGTAACAAGGACAGTTCAAAGTTACAAAACTTTTAATGCCGCGTAAAAATACAATTAAAATAATCAATTTGTCAGAATGTTTTTTTTGTTGTTGTTTTTTTTCAATGTATTTAAACTCATATTTATATAACAATGTATTGAACGTATATAATAAAGTGTTAGATCAAAAAAAAATTTGAAGCATTTAATGTACTATGAAAAATTATTTATTTCTTCACGTGTTTAATGATCTTTTTCTTTGAAAAAAAAGTAAAAGATCTTTAAGGCACCAAGAAATATTAAAATCCTGGTTGAAACTTTTGTCTCAAGTTAACAATTACACTAAATTATATTAAAAAACACATCTAAACCTCTCATAGTATTTGCTAATATGTCCCTGTGTAAAACAGAGTACTTGGATGTTGTGTCAAGGGGTTTAGTGTTATAGATCAACTTATACTAAACTAAATGTCAGACTTAATCTGGAATATGTAATCAGTGCTTGGTTTCCTTACACAATAAGAGTAAAAAAGTTATTGATAAAATGCAAAGACAAATATAGAGAAAATCTATAAAAGTACCGATATAAGCAAACATTGGTTACATAAAGAGATCTTGTTTCAAATTCAAAAACTAGAGAATCGTAAAATAAGAGGAGACTTGAATCAAACAAAATTCAAAAATCGATAAAGGTTTTGCTATCACAAACTGAGGATAGAGACTTGTGGAACACTCCATACAAATTTATAATTAATCCGGATTGACTACATATTTTTATCAAACAAAATTTTTTGCTTGTTACACCAATAATGTATTTTTTCTAAAAGTATAAAGTGACCAACTGTGTTAAATGCTTTTAACAAATCTATAAATAATCCTATTGTAAACTGATTTTTTTTTTAAATCTGTTGGTTATTTGGTCAAGCTAATTGAAATATTTTTTGCGAAACCAAACTAATAAAAAAATTTTGAGTTTGAAATAGACTTTGTATAATGAAGTTTTATTATACATAAAGTTTTCAAATATTTTGGAGAAAACGAATAATATTGTCTATAATATTGGTCTATAATATATAGTCTATAATTTGTCTATATATAGTCTAATAATATAGGTCTATAATTTGAGATATCGAAACTATCGTTATAAATTGGATAATCTTTAGCTTTAATATTAAAGCTAAAAATTATCTATTATATTTATATAAAGATAACTATAGTTTTGATATCTCAAATTATAGACCTATATCTCTATTATTCGTTTTCTCCAAAATATTTGAAAACGTTATGTATAATGAAACTTAAGTGTTTCATAATACATTTATAATGTATCATGAAACACGCTTTCGTTTTTTGAACGTTTAAAAATATAAAATAAATTTATTTCAAACAAAATTTTGTTTGAAATAAATTTATTGTTCCATCAAGACCCAGTGATTTATGTGTTTTAAAAGACGTGAAAGCATCTTTATTTCTTTTACCCTTAACTCACTCTCACCAAATAAATTATAACTAAAGACTTTATTTAGGAATCAATTTAGGCACGATTTTACTAAATTTAGAGCAACCTTAGTAATTGTAAAACTCTATTTTTACTATTTTTTGTTTTATATCAAATTTACAATCAGTAGTTTTTTTTCTATAAAATTGTTTTCTTTTCAAACATTATAATTGAGTTTTGTTCATACATATATTTATTTGCCTAACAACTACTGCACAAGGGTGGGTCCATTGGGGTGGGTGGCGGGTGATAGGAGCAATCCTTAACTTACCCTCCCCCCTCTCCTAAGGTGGTATCCCAAGAAACATATTAAAATCTGATTGGGGATCGTCCATAAATAACGTCACGCATTTTTTGACAGATTTTGACCTCCTTCCTCCCCCTCATCAATAAATCGTAACACTTAAGAAGCAAGTTTTGTATGAGTCGTCACAAAACTACCAGCCCCCCCTCCCCCTTATAGTGTGACGTAATTTATGGACGACCCCTTGGAACTAAAGCACACTCTCAATTTTACAACATAAATACATAATTTAAAATAATTTTCAAAAATGCTATCAAACTTGAAAATCTTTGCCTCGATTACCTCCCAAAAATTGAAAATAATTGGTTTTTTGTGAATTAAATTACTCAAAATCTACTAGTCATTTTAGAATGAAATTTGGAACATTTTTTAATCATGGTAATATAATTCATTAAGAGAAAATAAATGAAAACAAATGAAAACAAATGAAAATTTTAGAAATTATGCACGAAACACTATAAAAAGTAAGCTAAACAACACTAATGTAACAAAATTTCAAGATGTAAAATGGATTAAAAAAAAATCTTTTCTCAAATGAAAAGTTCTTATTTCGTTTAAAAGTTTGAAAACTAGTGAATTTTGAGATTTTGCGATAAAAAATTAAAATCACACACAAAGTATAAAAAATTTATAATTTCTGGAATAAATATAATAACTTAAAATCCTCCAGGTTCGTATGATATTTTTTCAGTTTTCATAACTTGTTTTGAATATCCTTTTTTATACTTTTTTTTTTTTTAATTGTCTTTTATTTCCTGGGGTACCACCCCATGTTGTTTTTGAAACACTCCATGATGTTTTTGGTATAACTTTTTTTTTTAATATAACTTTTTTTTGATATAACTTTTTTTTTTGTAAATTTATATATTTAGCAAAGCATGTTGTTTGAAAATGGAAGTTAGGGAGGCTATTTAAAAGTGATAAGAAATTTTATTAAGTTTGTATGGTGCAAAAAAAAATTGGACTGTTGGGATATCAACATGACGTATTTTCATAGTTACATAAAATAAAACATTTTAGACTAATATTCTAAAAAAACTAATTTAAAAAGTTTTATGATTTAAATCTAAAAATTGCTCTTTCCCCGACTTTATTAGAGTCTGGATCCATCGAACCGAAACCCCCACCCACCCTTTTCCTTCCTGGGGTCAATGTTATAAAACTTTTTATGGGCGTAAAATGCTACGGTACGGTAAATTTTACCGGCGTAAATGATTTTTTTCAATGTTATAAAACATTTTTAAAAATTACCGACTATAAATTTCTACAGCCGAAATGTTTCCGACCTACGGAAATTTTTATAGAAGATCCAAAGATATGAATATTTATATGCAGAAACCTGTGGTTTAGAACTTTTCAAAGTACTTAATTTGAGTTGAAAACTTATTACAAATTCATTCATCTTAACTAAGTGCACATTTCTTGATAAATTTTAATTTCAAGCGATTTTATTGTTAATATTTTTCTACTGAATTTGTCATTTGTGAGAAATGTAACTCATTCTCAAAATTTAAAACTGCTCTTATTAACTATTTTTTAGAAAAATATTGCTTATAAATTTTATACTTTCATTCAACTTATTATTTATAACCCTAATTCTAAGTTTCTCCCCCCCCCCCCCTCCCCCTCCTTTTTTTTTGCTACTGATATGATAGAGAATTTTATACTGATTAAAAACATAGGTCTGAAAATTAACAGAAAGTGCTTTAATTCGATGTTGAAGTTTAAAAAGTTACACTAAAAAACGCTAATATTTGCCTAATCGAGTTTAATATGACAATTGTTTTCCATAGAAGAAAAATAAGAGATTTATAGAAATAGAGAATGGAATCAGGGATGAAAAAATGGTGAACACAATAAAAATGCAATTTTAACAGATTCTAACGTTAAAATGGATTGGATTGGATAAAAAAAATGTTTTCTATCAACAATTTTTAAAAAGCCTGTTTTCTATCAACAATTTAAAGCAAAACTTTTAAAAAATCTTAAGCGGATTTATTTCTGGCCCAAGCCCCAGTCCCGAATCATGTACGTTTAATTGCGTCAATTCCTATTTGTTCGTCGATTTATGCACATTTAAATTGCAATATCTTATAACTACTTTTTTTAAAAATTATTAAAAAATATATAAAATGTATTCAAAAAGCACTTAGTTTTAATTTAATTTTGATGACAATAAAAACCGGGTCGTGTAATTTCAAAATATAAACTTTGATGTTAAACGCTTTTTAAAAATGACGAATATTAGCGTTTTTAAGTGTAATTTTTTAAACTTCAACAACGAATTAGAGCACTCTCTGTTGATTTTCAGACTTGTGTTTTTATACGATTCTTAATCAGCATAAAATTCTCTGTCAGTTATAATCAGCAATAAAAAAAAGAGGAGTGGGAGGGAGAAACTGGGCGCTACTGCAGTAGATATTACTATTTAAATGTACTTAAACCGACTGACAAATAGTGATTGGCACGATTAGGGGCTGTCTATTAATTACGCCAACAATTTTTTGAAATTTCTACCTCCTCCTCCCCCTTGTCAACAATTTGTCAAATTTCCAGAGACTCGTATAAAATTACGTCAATTTTCGATTACCCCCCCCCCCAAACAAGGTAGCAACGCTTCAAACTCAGCCTAGTTTTCCGTTTTTTAAGCAATGAAACTCAAAAAAAAAAAATTGTTGACATTAACTTTA